GGCGTGGCGTCGGGTCACGGCTGCGTCGGCTTGTTCCGCTGCTTCCATGTTGCGTCGTCAGGCCACCTTCAGTAAGTGAGCTTTCGCCGTCAGGGCTTTGCCTGGTTGGCATTGTGTTCGGAAAGCTCCGTCGCGGCGTCGTCGTCGTCGGAGGATCTTCGGTAGTTCGTCGCACAGCAACCGCACCTCCACCGGTTGCTGCCCTTAGTTTCCCGGATACGGGCTAGGAGACCGGCCCCGCGTTGGGCCGGAGTACTGCCGGGGGTGCGGTGATATGCGGCGGCTGGGCGACGGCGAACGGGAAGGACTTCGGGGTGTCCATTGAGTTCCTGTCAGGTAGTCGGCGATGTCACGTGGCCGTTCCCCTGGCTGCGGACGTGGTGCATCGACGGCGAAGCCACGCAGTCCCATCTGTCGGTACTGGCAACGGCGGTGTGCCCGGCCTCGCCGCAGTGGTAGCACAGTGGGCGGTGGTCAGGGGTGCGCCAAACGTCGGTTTTCCTCGGCGCACTGCGCTGGCCCGCTGGTGAACGGTATGTCGTCGGTGGGGGTGGTGGCAGCGGTGGTGTCCGGCGACAGAAGTGCGACGGGGCGGCGTTTTGGCGTGGACGGGGAGGAGCGTTGTGGCGCACTGCAGCGGCGTAGTTCATAGTTTCTGGCTCGGGCAGCGGTGTTTGGGGAATTCGAAGTGATTGCCGAACTTCTTCTCGCACAATGTCGGCGATCGAATCCACTTGAGGGTGCGCCGAAGGCAACACTTTGCGCAGCTCTTCCCGCACGATCGCTCGGATCGTTACACGCAGGTTTTCGGAGTCACTGGTTTGAGCAGCAGCGCATTCTGGAGTCAGGCGACGATTATACTGTCTAGTGCGCATGTCAAGGGTTTTTTCGATGGTGGTCGCCTTGGATACAAATTCTTCGACGGTGTTCGGTGGATTCCTCATTAGTCCCGCGAAAAGCTCCTGCTTGACCCCTCGCATGAGGAAACGAACTTTCTTCTCCTCAGGCATGTCTGGGTCAGCGTGACGAAATAGGCGAGTCATCTCCTCTGTGAAAATTCCAACCTTCTCATTTGGTAGCTGAACCCGGGTCTCTAGTTGAGCAGCGGCCCTTTCTTTGCGAGCGACGCTCGCGAACGTTTGCAGAAATGCGCCGCAGAAGACATCCCCCGTTCGGAGCGTGGACTCACGATTCTCTAGCCAGGTCCTTGCGGTGTCTTCCAGGTAGAAGTACACACGACGGAGCTTTTCTTCGTTGTCCCAGTGGTTGAGGGCGGCCACACGGTCGTATGTTTCTAGCCAGGACTCCGGGTCTTCGAACGATGACCCATGAAAAATTGGTGGTTCCCTGGGTTGATGCATGACCATCGTTGGCGGGGATGCGGCGGTTGTCATTGTCACTGCAGTCGCGGTCATGGCCTTGGTCTTCCGCGCCTTGTCTTCTAGAATCTCGTACTCCGGTGGTAGCCCTTGCTGTCGGGGGCTTGTTCGCGGCTCCTGGTTGGCGTCGGTGTCTTCTCCGCGATTTGGGCTGGGTTCACGGCTTGACGGGGGCGTGCGGTACATGAACGAAGCAGCACCTCCACCAGAAGTCACGGGGTCGTGACGTGGCCGAAGACAGGAGACTTCGTGTTGGGATTTAACTGTTTATTTGGGCGAACCTGTGCCCGGTAAACGGAAAGTCCAAATACAGCAGCAGTCTCGCACAGATAGCAGTCTTGGACTGATAGCGGCGAACGGAGCGTCGGCCTTCGATCAACAACTGACAAGCGGCGAAGCGCGTCGGCATTTATACTCTTGCCGTCGAATGTTCTAGCGTTATCACTGGCGGCGGCGTAGGTTCCAGAACAATCTGTACCGTTCGCACAGTGGGCGTGATCTTATCGAAATGATCTACTACAGTCCGGAACCTTCTCGAAAACTGCAGGCGCGGTTCGCGCTGAGAATGGTGTGGTGTTTTGGGACGATAACAAAAACTTGGGAAGTGGAACGTGGCAAACTGCAGGCGCGAACCGCGCCTGCAGTTTGGTGTGGTGTTTTGGGACGATAACAAAAACTTGGGAAGTGGAACGTGGCAATATCTTGAATTTTCACGTTTATTCTGTCTAGCTGCTTCTGAACAAAATTAATTTGTAGTGTATGAAAACGTAGCCAATGAGCAAGCAAAAAAGAGTCTGGGTCATTGATGAATACATATTTGATCGTCTTAACGAATAGCTACAAAATTTTAGATAAGCCTGAACCATCAGGATACGGAATCGACAAGGCAAAGTTGGTAAGCGCGCCTCGTGATACAAAACATTGTTCGCAACAAACTTAGCGAGTCCTAGGCATAGTCGCAGGGCCTCACACTCCAAAAAACTATCAAAGGCTTAAGTTTATAAGCAGGGTCACCTGAGAATAACACACATTCGAGTAATAGTATGGGACGCATATGCATTTTGTAAATCATAACCAGAGTGTCCCTGCGTAAACCATAGCATCTGCTGGTCAATCTGCGAATCATGCCTAAGGCACATTGTGCCTTACATGACATACTCTCAATGTGAGCAGTCCAGTTTAATTTATCATTATAAATCATTCCCAAATAGTTTAAGTGACTTAATTGCGGAATAGGTTCTTCTTTAAAACAAATAATAATTTAGATAAGATCTGTTAACGGAAATATCAACATTGCACTTTTGTTTATATTCAGTGACATGCATATTGTCTCTAGCCAACCCTCTAATATATTCATGTACATCTCTAGTTTTTTATATAAGTGTAGTGGGGTGATTGTGGCTGCCGACCATCTGACAAGGTACGCCGAATACTGGCAGCGATACCTTCGGCTGGTGCTCGTGACGTAGCAACCTTCATCTTGCATCGGTTTGTACTTCGTCATGGTGCACCACGAAAGCTCCTGAGTGACAAGGGCCGCGTATTTGTCCGAAGTTCTGCAGCAGCTCTTACATTCATGCCATACGATACACCACACATCAACAGCCTACCACCCTCAGACGAACGGCCTAACGGAACGTTTCAATAGAACCCTGGGAGACGTGCTCGCTATATATATTGATTCCGACCACTCCAATTGGGACGTTGTTCTTCCTTTCGTGACGTACACCTACAATAAGGTGATTCAACCAACAACAGCCTTTTCCCCATTTTTTTTCTTTTATATGGTCGTGACCCACGCAGCACGCTCGACAGAATTCAGCCATACAATCCTGACGCCTCTGAGTTCAGCCCAGTTTCTGAAATGGTCGAACATGCCGAAAAGTGTCGTCAGCTTGCACAGTCCTTCACAGCCGATAATCAAGCCCTCCAAAAAGATCGCCACGACCGTGATCTTGTTCAGGACACTTTCCCCGTTGGTTCTCTCGTGTGGCTCCGAGTGTCTTTCCACTCTCCTGGACTGACTCCCAAGTTTGCACCGAAGTATACTGGCCCTTACCACGTCATACAGCACCCTTCCTCTGTCACCTATGTGATTTAACCGCTCAAGCCGTCCACGGACAAGCGCCGCCTTGGTAGTAAGACGGTCCACGTCAGTCGCCTCAAGCCCTGCTACGACCCTCCTGTTCTCTCGTCACCTTGAATCGCCAGAATAGCTCGTCTTCGTCACCGGGGTATTGTAGTGGGGAATTCGCAAGGCAATGACTAGTGGGCCCATCTCTGAGTGCTAAGAGCGAGCGTGTGCACGAGCTGTACACGCTGGGCTGCTCGAGCATTTGTGCCCGTACCGGCTGTCTGCCTACTACCTGGCGTCGCTATTAAACTCCCTTGCATAAGGAATAAATGTCAATGTCTACTACAAAGAAGGCAATGTCATCAGCATACACGTATACAAGCACATCCTGGCTGTAAGGGATTGAACTCATTAAGATGTTCAATAATGTTGGAGAAAAAACAGCCCGGGGAATTCCACGAGTTTGTTTAGATTTAGACGAAGCGCAGCCATTCTTAAAGTAATAAAATTATCTTGCCCTCAGAAATTCTCCCAGTCACGCATTAGTGTACTTTGGGAAATTCAGGCTTAGAAGTATCTCCAACATCACTGAAAATTCCACACTGTCATGTGCTTTGGCTGTGTTCAAAGTCACTAGAGCAGCATGTTGCCATCTTTTGCGAGCAAGTTGGATGCGGCTTTCTAAATCAGCGTGGGCACACCATATTAAACAGTGCTCTCTGAAGCCAATTTGATTAGGGTTTATTAATGTATTTTCTGTCATCCAGTTTGTCATTCTCTTATGAAGCACCTTCTCAAGAAGATTGTTATGTCACGCTTGCTTGCTCTTTTGTTATAAGTGGTTCTGCCTGCGTTACGCTAATCACACTAGTTTTTTTTTTTTTTCGGCGATGATTGTAAGTGATCGATGACCATCAAGACGCTCGAAGAAAAAGAGGGAAAAAAGGCCTCGGCCTGGCGCGAACGCGCATTCCTTACGCTACACACGGAGCGTTACAGCATGCGACAACACGACTGCCTAAAGTGCCCTGCACTTGCAACTCGTGCGGAAAAGCCACATGGCGAGATACATATCTCTATGGTGAAACCACCACCGCGCTCTCCCTATCGACTAAACTATTACACACTTTTCTTCCGACTTCAAGTTACCCGTCCACGCTCTAAATTCCTAGGCAATTAAGCAGCGTTCCGCTAATTTCTGAACTAGTATATTTTTATCACTACGCGAATTCACTATGCCGTCTACCATTGTAGTCTCTGAGGTGTTTGTTGTCTTTAACCCATTCATTGACACATTTACTATATAGAGACATTATCCAATTTTTTCCCCATGAAACCTCTACCCGCAACTCGACACTCGTCCGCGTTACCAGATAGATAAAATAAAATATAAATGAGCTTTTATCTTCTCAATCTCATCGCAATGCAAGCGTCGGGCATGGTAGATAAGTAGACTCGTAGCACGAGGTATATTCGACGTCGTTTTGTTTTTTATTGCACGGAAAACGAATTAGCAGCCACACTCGGAGTTCCTTGTATCTACACACCTTGTGCGTGTGCAGCGCCTCGAGCACATCGTCAGAGGTCTCAACAAAGGCAGCCGACGCTCCCTGGACAATGGCTTTGCAGACGACGTCGAATAGCGCGTACACGTGGCCCAGGGAAGTGGTGGCGAGCGCCACGTCATCTGTGTTCAGCTTCATGTGAGCAGGATGGCTGAAATCGGCGAATTGAAAAAAAATAATAACGATAAAAATCACGAAAATATGAAACGTTGCAGTTTTGCGGGAAACACGAAGCACCGCAAGTTATCGCAGTTTATCAACACTAAAGCTCTACAGGCAGCAGAGCTTTGGTGTTGGCAGTACAAACCGAGCACATAGCCAGGTTCTTTAATGCGGCTGCTAAATGCATGACGTAGTTCTTCAATATTATTGCGATAGAAATTATACACTCGAGGCGCATTTTTGGCGTCGCCGTCAAGACCCGTAAAATGTGCAAATTTATAACAACGCCCAGCGCGTCGCATGTTCTGTGTGTGAGCGAAAGTTTTCGGAGGCTGCCGACGCGGGCAGCTCAAGCAGAGATCAAACGCGTCGGCCTGCTCCGCCGAGTGAGGGCGCTAGAAGGGGTGGCGATGGAAACGGTGGTAGTATTGCATAATCGGGCAGCAATTGCGAAGTCTGGTCATAGAAATAAGCAGAAGGTGCCCACAGTTACAAACATTCCATTCTGTCACTGCTTCGCGGTGTGGTGAAACAGCAGAAAAACTGTTTCGCTATACCTGGAGCGGCCGTATTCCTTTACGCCATTGTTTCGTATCTATAGAGTTACGCCAGATCACACCCTAAAGGAGTTATCGGCGGGCCTTACTTCGTATAGCATTCCAGTTTATTGCTATCGAATTTCTTACGTTATTGTAATGTCGTGTAACGCCAGATAAGATCCTAAAGAGTTAGCTTATAGCGTTATTTCGTATACAATACCGATTTGTTGCCACTGTATCTTTTACGTTATGATGTAGGGTTACGCCAGATATGATCTTAAGGGAGTTATCTGCAGGTCGAATAACAGTCCAATTTGTTGGTTTGCCCTTATAGCGAAGATGTGACATATAAAAAAAAAGATTATTTCGCTTTTTGTATGTAGTCGTAAAAAATATTGGCGCGCTTTTTTTTAATTTGTCAACTGTATGATACATACTTGTCTTGGTAACGTTGCGGCTTTGAAACAGAATCCTCAGTGGGACCTTTTTTGTCTTTTTTGGACACTTCCTTGCTACTCCATCCCCGGGATCAAGCCAAATGCAATTTTATTTTTATTTTTTGCGTTGTCGTGTCATTACAGGAGTGACTTATGTCGGGTCAGTGGGTGTTGGTTAGTGAAAGGGGAAAAAAACGGCGCTTATACGGCGAGGACATGGAAGGAACGATGCACTATGTGCCGTTTTGTTCCTTAGAAACACAAACGCTTTCCCCCGAAAGCCAGGCCAAAATATGCGTATAGCCACTGAAACACAGCCATCACGATCATGATGACATATGTGCTATATAGGGTAGTTAAACGTGAAGTAACCTGTTTGCCTGGACGGTGGCTAGTAGAGATTCGTGAGAGTGCACGACCACTTTTGGCTTGCCGGTCGTACCACTCGTTGACGTCATGTAGCAGATATCCTGTTCCCGGTACTCGATCGGAAGACAAGGCGTTCCGTTCGCTCTGCGTCCCTTCTGCAGCAGCTCACTCCAGGTGATTACGCAGTCAACGTGCCTTCCCGTTTGTCTGACACCTCGTCAAGCACTATGATATTCTGGAAAAAGGAATTTGCAAGCAAGAGCTCACAACGTTCACTTCAAGTTCTAAATGCGTGTGAATGCAATAATTATATTCAGAAAGCCATTAAGTATATTGATTAGGGGTATTATATAATTCACTTGTAGTGATACTATTTCAAAACCAGGTAAGACAGAAGTTTAGGAGAATAGGGAGGCTTGAAGGAATGAAAACTTCAACCTGGAATCCGATCTCACAACTTCCGACGGTTGTGTGTTCGGATAACGCAAACAGGCAGGACGAGCTTTAGTTCACGTTAATTAATGTCACCCAAAGTCATAATTACTAGACTAAACTTAAAGAGAACAATTAGCGTCACGTACACTTTTTTGGTATTACGATCCGCTGGATTCAATTGGTTGTGTATAACATAAAAACAAGCCCACCCGAAAAAAAGTTTCGTCTTTTGTTAATGAATATAGTTTGTGATGGTAACCATTTCATATAGATGTTATGGATAATTTGTACTCGCTGATATATTATCGCTGGTACTATTGTAATATTTGTACTCGCCAATTGACAATTTGTAATCACTGTACAAATCTTGTATTCATTCTTGTCTGGTGATTCCTTGTTCACGATAGTTCGCAAGATTTTAGCAATGTGTCACTTCCCGTACCTTAAGAGAAGGCACCATACGCTGTAGCTTGACGGCATCCTGCACCCAACATGGTTCACAGCAGAGGGCGGCAAAGGACAGGGGTCGCACCGCATCGG